GTGTGTGTGTAGTGATTAAAATAGCCCCATTGCTTTTACAATAAATAAACATTGAATGTGTTTAATTGAATAGGAAAGGGGTTTAACGTTAGTGGCAGATTGTGTGTGAGAGAGAATAAATAAGACAGCCCAATATTTAAAAAAAAACCTATTCTTTTTCGCCACTTTCGGCATATTTTGCAACTTCCCGCAATTTCACCGCAAAAAATCACATAAAAACCCCGCATGTTCAATCGCATAATCAAGGATTTTAGCCCGCATAATCAAGGATTTTTGCCCGCGTTTTTCTGGAGGGTCTATTTAATATGTGGATATCATCCTGCTGAAAACAATGTGCTAGCATCATATATGTGTTTTTGCCAAAGATCTAATTTCCTGCAGTATTCCGAAATCTAATAGAAAATCCCATTGCATTTTGTCGAGGGAGCCCTTGCTTTGCTAACTTTTGGGACGGCCTAACAAATGATGTCATTCCTTACGTTCCCTCCACCACTCCAAAGTGACCATACAGTAAAAGAAGCTCCTGCCTTCCATCTAGCTTGCATTAAGACGACATCAGTAGGTCTGGTAAAAGTTAACTTTTCTAACTGTATTTTTCTTTAAAAAAGCAGTTGAAGCTATAAAATAAATTTAATATTGACAAGGTATAAGCCTCTGAGGAGATTATGTGTATGGTTGTCGGTCGGTGTAACATATTTGGTTTCAGGCTACATTTTAGCCTTTGTCATAGCTCAAAACTGGCATCTATAAAAATATGAGCGTCTGCAAATGAATTCCATACCTGACATGTTATGATTATGTAATGATTGAAGTTAGGCATGATAGAAGATGAATAAATCCAAGTTTTTGATATCTTTGGTTTGATCTTGACTGTAAGGGGGGGCTGGAGGGACAATTGAGCGACATTCAACTCTTTTTAGGAATGGAAGAGAGGGACATATGGAGGAGATCTCCTCTCTACTGAGTGACATTTTCTAGTTTCTCTTTGCATTTAAATTGTATAATGAAGTGAACCCCACGTTCTAATCTTTCCCAAATCTACAACATGCTCTTCCTGTTCTGTGCAGTTAAAACACATTTCCCGTTTCAGTGTGACATTCTGTATGAACATACTGTACAAAATAATTTCCCTTCAGTTGTGGTTTGTGGTCTCTGTTGTTTATGGCAGCAACACTTACCCTTATCCTTTTGAACCCTTGTTCTTTTTGCTACCTTCATTGACATGCAATCCAATGTTATAATGTCCTTTTTAAATTGATTCAAAGTATAACTTGTGGAATTATCCACAATGACAAGCAATCTGCATTACAAAAAGTTGTAACTATAAACTGTTCAAATGGCATTTCCTTTGTGCTGAACTAATATGGAGAGCCTGAGTTTTACCTAACTGTTAGCATTTATATGAGAAATTAAAACAAACCACAATATGTAAAATGTAATACACATACCCTGTTAGAGAATATAACATGCTTTATGTCTACATTTGTATCAGTAAAAGCTGTCTTATAAACAATAATGTTGAGATAAGAAATAAGGGACATACAGTGTATACAAATTAAGCAGATAAACCTAATAAAATCGTTAATATTCTTCATATAACTAAATCTAACAAACATTTAATAAAGAGGAGTGTGGTGTGGTCAAGTACGTATTTGAGTTATTCAGAATTATAAGAACACTTTATTTATCCAAGGAGGTCATTGGGTTTAATGACAGTTAGAGAATACAATGAATAATACAAGAACATTGAATAAAATAATTATTAAATCATACAAAAATTAGTACAAAAAAGCACGAATTGATTCAAAAAATATAAACAAAAACATAAGAAGTAAATGTGACATTGTACAATATAAACAGGTTAAAGATTGTATGCTGTGACCAACTGATTAATCCTTATTTATATATCTTTATTCTTTACTTATTGGTTCTCCTCTCGCATGTTGGTACTGCGATTGATGTGACATATTAGCCAACACATCAAAATGAATATCTGATAACTAGCGCAGGCTGGGCAGTGATCCCTGCTGACACCGCTCAGGTTTTACTGGATTGGGAACCCTTCAAGTCAGGAACAAGCTGAGGTGCTGAGAACAACCTATTAGATTTCACTGAACCTTCGTTGCCTGTCGAGTGTGTTTTGAGAAGGAAACTAATATGTTCCTGCGTTAATGAGGAAGGGGG